GAAATCCAACTACTTCCTAAAGATCATCCAAGTTTTGGAGGATTATCCAAAATGCTTCATTGTGGGAGCAGACAATGTGGGCTTTAAGCAGATGCAGCAGATCTGAACAACCCTTTGAGGGAAGGCCGTGGTGCTGATGGGCAAGAACACCATGCTGCGCTAGGCCATTCAAGGATATCTGGAAAACAACCCAGTTATGGAGAAACTGTTGCCTCATATCCAGGGAATGTGGGCTTTGTGCTCACCACAGAGGACCTCACTGAGATCAGGGATATGCTGCTGGCCAATAAGGTGCCTGCTGCTGCCTGTGCAGGTGCCATTGCACCATATGAAGTCAATATGCCAGCCCAGAACACTAGTCTGGGGCCCAAGAAGACCTCCTTCTTCCAGGCCCTGGGCATCACCACTAAAATCTCCAGGGGCACCACTGAAATCCTTAGTGATGTATAGCTGATTAAGACTGGGGACAAAGTGGGAGCCAGCGAGGCAACCCTCCTGAACATGTTGAACATCTCCGCATTCTCCTTTGGCTAATCATTCAGCAAGTGTTTGACAATGGAAGCATTTACAACCCAGAAGTCCTTGACATTACAGAGGAAACTGCATTCTCGCTTTCTGGAGGGTGTCCGCAGTGTTGCCCGTGTCTGTCTGCAGATTGGTTACCCAGCTGTTGCATCAGTGCCCCATTTTATCATCAATGGGTACAAGCGGGTCCTGGCTTTGCCTGTAGAGACTGATTACACCTTCCCACTTGCTGAAAAGGTCAAGGCCTTCCTAGCTGGTCCATCTGCATTTGTGGCTGCTGCTCATGTCGCCACAGCCACCACTGCTGCTCCTGCTACTGCAGCTGCCCCAGCCAAGGTGCAAACCGAGGAAGAATTGGAGGAGTCAGATGAGGACATGGGATTTGGTCTCTTTGACTGATCACCAAAAAGCAAACTATTCAGCCTGCCTGATCAGCAAAACAAGTAATAAAGGCATAATTCCCTTTAAGAGAAGAGAGAGAGAGAGAGAGAGAGAGAGAGAGAGAGAGAGAGAGAGAGAGAGAGAGAGAGAGAAAGGAGGAGAAGGAGGAGGAGGGAAAGGAAGGAAAAGGAAGGGGGGAGAACAGAACAGAACAGAAGAAAAGAAAAGAAAGGAAAGGAAAGAGAAAAGAAAAGAACAAAGAGCAAGCCAAGGCCCTGCATGTCTCCTGTTCCCCATCTCATCAGGCGCCTGCGCCTGCTCACATTTGCTGTCACCAGGATGCCACATATCCTGCTGTGATAGCCAAGAGGCCCTCACCAAGACATAAAACGGTGGGGCCTCCAGTCTTAGATTCTTCAGCCTCCAAACTGTGAGTTAAACAAATCTTTTATTTATACAGTAAGATTGGCTAATAACACTCATTTTAGCCTCCATTCCTACCTCTATGAGGGACAACAAAGAGAAGTGAGGAGTCCCGCTCTGGCTGCTTGGTGCCAGAAACAAGAGTAAGCACTGCCCTCACTGCTTCCCAGGGTGGACCCCGGGGACTAGATGCACAGGTGGGATGCCAACAAGACTGGGGGAAGGCACCAGGGCCTGTGATAGCCTCTAATTATCTCACAACCTGCGCTAGGGTTTATGGAAATAAATACTTACCCCCTGAATTTTCCATTTGTTTTTTTTAAAATATAAATTTGACAATTTAGGCTATGACTTCATGAGACTTCATGAGGAACTAAATAAGGCATGTAGGTGTACATCTTTTGAAAATATAACCATCTAGGGGCCAGGGAGATAGCTCAGTAGAATAAGCGTTTACCTGGCAAGTGCAAGAGCCTGAGTTCAATCTCCGATTCCTCCAAAAAATAAACTAAAATAAAATAATAAATATCTGTTGCCTTATGAAAATATAAACATCCAAGGGATTACCTACTCTCAAGTAGAAAAAAGACATGCATAATAAAAGAATACCTACCTAATGGCGTCTTACAAAGTGTGGATTAAATTTATATTCACTTTCTCATGGAACGATTTATGAATTTGCATGTTACTTTCATCCTCTGTATCATTGCAACTTAGTATTGTGCTTCTGAGGCACACATCATCTGTACTTATCTATATCTTTATTTCTACCTTAGAGAGCAATTGAATTTCTAAGACTACTTACTAAAATGGGCAACAAAATTCCTGCAACAAGTTTGTTTTCATGATTATTTTCCACTGGTGCTTATACCCTATGATGCTTATGTGTATTACAGAGTTGCCATATGTTGACAAGCTGTGAGGAATCCAGTTGATCCCTTCATAGCTGTAAAGTCTGCCACAGGAAATTGGGCTTGCTCACTAACCCTGTGATAATTCATCTGTCAACCACTTTGCTTATTCTAATTAACATACGATAACAAAACTGTGAAGTTTGTTTTTACCTTAAGGAAATATCTAAAACCATTTGTTCCTCACAGAATAGCATATATGAATGATTATAGATGTTATCCTACAATAGGTTTTTTGGGACATAATCCCATCACGTGTGGAGGAGCTTCTGACCAGAAGTCATCAGTGCGTTGTGTGTATGACTCAAATTCCCCATTATTCTGATACTTTGTTGTAAATGAAGAAAGCGTGGAGAAGTCATAGTGCATTCTTCCCTCACAATAGAGAGAAGAACACCAAGCAGTGTTGCTGCAGTCTGCCTGCTTTTAGATCTGGGAAAGATTAAACTCATCTTCATATTCTTTCTTATGAGTCAAATCTTAACCTAGGAGAGCTAGGAGGAACCTGTAAGCTTGCTCTAGTGGCTCAGCTTGTTTTCCAATGTGAAATGTCTCGGAGAAGTGGAATTTAGTAGGTCCTCAGCAAATCCATGTTGTCTAGCAGACTGACTTTGGCCTCCCATCACTCATCAGTAGAGATAAAGACAGTGAAAGAATTTATTTCTGAAGTAACTTATAAATTTGAATGTTCAGAATTTGAATGCAATTCTAAACTGTTAGAGTGAAAAATGAAGGTGATCCTACCCCCCAGGAAGCTTTAGCATTGCCTTCTCTCATTAGCTTCTCTCTCTCTCTCTTTCTCTCTCTCTCTCTCTCTCTCTCTCTCTTTCTCTCTCCCTCTCTCCTTGCTTTCTCTGTCTCATCCTCCCCTTTCTCTGTCTTCCTCTCTTTCTCTCCTTATAGATCTCATCCACTCCTTTCTCTTTCTCATCTCCCCCTTCTTCAGTTGTAGAGCTCTGCTTAGAAATTTTCCCTTAGCACCAAGATTGACTGACTACCTATAAATCTATTAATGAATTATCTAAGATTGGGAAATAATTTTTTAAACTGGAGTTATTTTTAAGCCTAAATATATATGCTATGCAGCACTTGATGCAGTTTAAAGTTACTTTCCAATATCACAATCAGCACAGAACCCCAAAGACCCCAAGTGCATCTCTCTCCCAGAGAGGAACAAGCAAGGGCCAGCAGTGTCTGCTCCACACCAGTCTGAACTCCCTCACAAAGAAGATGTGGAGCTAGCAGAACTGGAAACCAACCCAGGAGGATGTGTGCCTTTGAACCAAATCATCTCCAAATGCTCTGGGAAGTGCTTGCAGGCTCTGTTTGTGCTGCCCGAGAAGAGAGACTTTTCACAAAGGAACTGTTTTTCAAAGAACAACAAGCTCTGCTATTTTAAACTTGGGGTGGGAGATTGTATCTGGGTCGTTTACACAAGCCAGTGCTGGCCAACTGACATCTAACCCCAGGGTTGGCCGGCACTAGCTTACAAGTATCACAGAGGGAGGGAGGGAATTGCATTTGTGAGCCCAGGAAGCCGCAGCCCAGCTTTTCAGCAGGTTGGGACTTCCCAACGTGGGCAGAAAATCCTGCCTAGAAGTCCCCTCGACATAAACAAGCCAGTGAGGTTCATCACCCAAGTGGCCTTGGGAATCAAAGGGATGTGAGAAACCTGAGGAGGGCACTTCCCTACCTGAGACTAGAGCCCAGGCAGCAAGCACAGAACTCAGTGGATGGGAACCACGTGCTGGGGGAGGGGGCATTCCTGCCATGGCTACTGGGTAGCAGAGCTGCACCACTGTGGATGTTGGGGTGCAGGCCTCCAGGCTTTACAGCCTCACCTGCAGGGAGGCACAGCAAGAGGGGCGCCTGCCCCTAGAAGGACCCTGTCACTGGTCCAAGATACTGACAGGATGCTCTGCTGCTCTCTTTCCCAGAGGCACATTGCTCTCCCCACCAAAAAGAAAATGGTCTCCCACCCCCCAAACCCAACAAAAACCCGGCAAAAACACCATCCTGCCCCGGGTGTTAAGGTTAAAAATAATTATAGTAATAATAACCCACTGCCCATTAAAAGTCCAACGTTTTCTAGAGCATGGGTTTCAAGAAACGGATCTGTAAGACAGGACAGGGAAAAGAGCTGGAACCCCTCCTAAGGTAGATTTAGCCCTGGACTGTTGTTTTAAAAATACAGCCTTAAATCTTTCCAGGAAACCAAAACACAGCCAAACGTGCTCAGCGGGGGTGCGGAATCACATTTCCCGTCGCCTGACTAGGAGTTTAAAACTAACTAGAAACACTGTCGTGGCAGCCTGCGGCCAGCTGGAATGCTTTCTTTAATAGAAATTGTGTTCCGTGTTCCGAATATGAAAAGTAGACAGTTGAACAGCCCAGCATTCAGAGGGAAGACAAGAAAGCCAGGGGAAAAGGCCGCCCGCTGTCTCTGGGATCCCAGGAGAGGGCGAGCTGCTGCTCACCTTTCAGCGGGACTCACGCATCATCACCGGACCCCCCAAAGGGGAAAACCTGAGCCCCTGGCCCAAATTCCAGTAGTCAGCCGAAGGGCTTTCCAGGGTTGAGCTCTGCCCAGTGGGGGAAGGGGAAGGACAGCGACCAAGTTCCCACACGTCTTAGCACCACGGCTGTTAGAGGAAATTTTTAGAAGAGAATTTGTAGAGGGCACTAACCTTGCCGCCGGTCGGGGAAGCGCAGCGGGCCTGCCTGCGGCTGCCTGCCATGGCAAAGAGCCCCGAAGGCGAGGAGCTGAGCCAGCGCCAGCGAGAGGTTCGCGAGCCAGCCCCTCTGAGCACATGGCATGGTTCAGTTGTCGGGAGAAGAAAAGTCACAAAGTTTCCGCCCTAGCTCCAGAAACGGAGTCCCCGCCTGTGGCCGCGCAGGCCAACGCAAGGATGCATCGTCCCGGAGCAGGAGGGACAGCGGCAGAACGGCCCGCAAGCTCGCTGCTGCTTTACTTTTCAGCAGAAAGGGGCTAGCCACCTTTTCCCTCCCTCCTCCTCCTCGAAGGGGAGTGAACCAGCTGATAGGGTCTGCTTTTGGCGGGGTGTGGAATGGGTCAGCGCCGAAGGGCGCAGCCCACCCTGTCCCCACCCCGCTGCCTTCGCCGGCCCGCCCCGCCGGCCTCTGGCCAGCACCGTGCATCTTCCTCTGGGAATCTCACCCCGGCGCTGCTCCCGCCCTAGCCCGACAGGCCGGGGAACCAAACGGGGGGGGCCAAGACAACTACCCAGAGGGACCCCGAGGAAGCTGACACCTGAGGCCCCCAAGCCAGCCCCTCACCCCCTAAATACAGGCTGAAAGGCAGAGTATGGCTGTGGGCCAGAAGGGACTCCACCTCTTTTCCTCCCAGCCCTTCTCCTCCAGGTCTTGACCGACTCCCACTAAGAAAATCTGGGCGCCTACTGCCTCAGCCCTCCTTGGGTTCTCTACCAGGATAGATTTAAGATTTTGCATGCCTGTAACTGACAATCTGAGCAACTACTTTAAAGATAACACTATGCAGTGTAATAACATTGTTAATGTTCTAACATCTTGTTTTGAAATTCTGAATCTTTATTTTTGTTTGTTTTTTGTTGCTGCTGTTGTTTCTTTAAAATGATAATAAAGAAAGATCTCCACTTACAAATTAACACCAGTTTTTCTCTCCACCAGGTCGCACAGTAGGAAATGGTCTGAACTAATCTACTAGCTTAACAGTGCCCAAGTCCCTTCATCAGCACAGTGAGGTGACCCCAGCAAAGGTTTGCAAGGACCAATGTCTGCAGGTCAGGGAAAGCTTTCCGTTTTCATGCCGCCATCTTTCCTAGCCTGCCTCCATCACCCTAAAGGAAACCAGAAGCATGGAGAAAGTAGGCCAGCCCAGAAAAGGTCTAGGCACCTACTGACCGTGGTGGAGACGGAGGCGTCCATGCACATGCTCAAGCTTTTTCACAGACCAGTGAGAGAATACCGCAAAGCAGGGAGCTTGCCAGACATCCTGAGAATTTACTGGAGTAATGCAGCCAAAATTTCTCACCTCTGGGCTTCGACAGGCCTTACTCCATTCAGGAAGAATTTGGCCCAGCGATGGAGCTCTCCCTGGCCAACAATCAACATATGCATTTAGTAAAAGGTCTGGGATAGCCTCTGCCCCAGGGGGACAGAGCCATGAAGGCAACCAGGAGAGTTTCATCTCCTCACCTCTAGTGGTATTTCCCTTCTACTCATCCTCATTTACTTTTGCATGCATGTTGTGCTATGAATGATTAATGGCCCCCAAAGTTCTGTGCACTGAAGCCCTGCTTCCCAGGCTGAGGGCATTGAAAGGCACAGTGGACCCTCAGGAGAAGACTTTCATGAGCTCCTGAGTCCTTAAGTGTTGCTCTCAAATTGCTTCCCTTGTGACCCGCCAGTTTTTAAATCTCCGGGTCCTGGACTGTGATATAATCCACTTCCCCTGACACACCTTCCCTACTTTTTGGCACCCTTACCAGAAGTTCAACACAATGGATCCACACAGAAACCCCCAGAGCCATAAGCTAAATAACATTTTCTCCTTGTAAGCTCATTGCTCCTGGTTTTTCATTAAATAATTCAGAGCTTACTCATCTAGATCACAACTGGAAACATCCACCATCCAGAGTCATCTAAGTCTGAAACATTAACATTTCAAAATCTCACCAAAGATTTTGCTTCTGTCAGCCTTTTGAAGCCTTCGTAGCCCATATGTTGGCTCTTCTGCCCGGTAAGGACTTCCTTCTCTTGATCTCTCCATCTTTGGTTTCCTAGTAATCTATACATTCTCTCCAGGTAGACCTGCTTTTCTGCACCTCCCCCATATACAGTAATCTGCTTCCATAAACCAGCGGCTTCAAGATTGAATGTCTTCCTCATCAAAGTCTAGCTTGTTTTGCTCCAACTGCTGATATCTCTGCTGTTTGACTCCAAGTACTGTAGAAAACATTCACATACATGCACCCAACAGTGCAAATATCATTTCATGTCTCCAGCTTCAGCAAGTTTTCAACATGACTCAACACCTTCTGCTTCTATTCTAACATCAAGTTCCTCTCCCATGTTCCAGAATTTATAAAATTTCTGCAAAGGTCACGGTTTCCTCAAAGTAGAGAGACTTGATCTTCCTCCCAAATTTTGCTCTACATAGTGAGAAAAGGTAACATCATCACAGTGCCTTTGGTAGTGGTTTAATTCACTATGGTTAAGTATTTTCCATATAAAATGCAAATTGTAAGGGGTGGCTAAATAGCTCAGTGGATTAAAGCACCTGCAAGCAGGAGCAAAGGCTGGGGGTTAGATCCCTGGACCTGCTGTTCCAGCCCTGAGGTGCACTGAAACCCTTTCCTAAAATTAAAAAATAAAAAAAATACAAATTGGGACCAAACACACTAAAATACTTCACAAACAGTTCACTCTGTTCAAACTTTCCTACCAGGTCCCTAGAACTATAAGGATGGCTGAAGTTCAAGGAGAATTAGCTCAATGCATCTTTTAAAGCTTCATTAACACTGGGAAGACAAAAGAAACAACCACCCACTCAAAACAAAACAAAAACAAATAAGGAAATACTTTGTGATTTCACCTCAGGCATCACAAATGAATATGCCATAAAAAGAAACTTTGTATTTGTTAATCATACTTAAACACCATGACTGTTTTACACAATAAAAAAAAAATCATTGTGTCACATACAATAATTTTAAGCACTTTTCCTGAACCATATCAGAGAGTAGAGAAGAGAAAAGCAATCCTCTGTGATTTTCAAGGTTAGACTTATACTCTATTTGAAAGTAAATAAGCATTGTCTTCAAAAGTCGTGTATTTAAATGTTGTATGTACTACTTTCTTTCAAGCCTCTCTGCAGTCTAGAAATAAGGTAGAGATAGGTACTTGTGACCAGTATCAATTCACCTTTCTTCCTTCAACCAATTGCATTAATGAGTAACTAGATCAAAAGCAACCCAACCCACTCTGTTGACCCCTAAAGCCTAAGAAGCCCACTTTCCTGACTTAGCTTAAAGACTGTGAGATCTTTCCAGAGAGATAGCTCAGCAGTCTAAGCACCTTTCTGGCAAGCACAAGGACCCCAGTTTGATCCCTGATACCACATGTTGAACTGGCCCTGTGCCAAACTGGCCACCAAAAACCAGGCATGGCACACTCCTATAATCCCAACTTTGGGGAGGCTGAGGCAGGATCACTATGAGTCTGAGCTGCATAGTGAGACCTTCTACCAAATCAATAAATAAAGAAAAAAGAGGCCAGGGAGATGGCTCAGTAGAATAAGTACTTCCCTGGCAAGCACAAGGGCCTGAGTTCAATCCCCAGTTCCACAAGAGAGAGAGAGAGAGAGAGAGAGAGAGAGAGAGAGAGAGAGAGAGAGAGAGAGAGAGAGAGAAAAAAAAAAAATTACAAGACTGTGAAATCTGTTCATTACAAATTTTGAAAGTTACCCAGATCTGCATTTTAATGGTTGCTGTATTGGGCCATTCTTCTGATGCTATGATTAAGCAATTCAAAGAAAGAATGTTATGCCAGGGCCCTGTGGAAAGCATGGCCAAAAGTGCCATAGAGCCCTGAATAATAAAACATACTATATGCTGAAGGAAGACATCACATGCCAGAAAGCATGGAGGTTTTTGCAGCTAAATTGAGGCCAACACCAGTTTTTAGAGTGTTTTCAATTGAGTCAAAAGGAAATATACTAGGACTTCACTGGGTTGATGCAGGAATGTCCCTTATAGGTCTGCCAGAGGAAACCTGAGCAAAGTGAGAGGAGGAGAAAGCTGCCTGTTGCAAGATATCGGAGCCCAAGCAATGTAAATAAGGCATTTGTTTATGCTACCAGACATGGGGGCAGAGCCTGAGCAGTGTGAGGAAAGCATCTATTTGAAAAAGTAGATGTCCTAGAACAGGCTGACAGTGATGTGTCCTTAAAGGGAAATTCATCAACTAAGTACACAGTACAATGGCAGCCAAGTTTCTCACTGCTGGTCAAAGGCTGTAATGCTAGACAGGAACTAAAGACACGGGTATCCACCTACAGCTGCCAATGCATATATTGATGTACACAGAAATAAGAGAAATGTGCATAAGTATTTGTAAAGCTCAAATTGGACATGACGCTACCAAAATCCAGCCTGTTTGTTAGCAAAGACATTGTTCTCTGGGGAGACAAGATGGAGCATGGAATCTTGCAGGCCCCCCGATATCTGGAGACACCCAAAAATTTACACCAGACACCTCAAGGACTGTAGCCACCGAGGTGCAAGACAGGCAGAAAACTTTGACCACTGATGTTTATTAATATCTTCCCGCCTAATGTCCCTTCCTTTCTTTCAATCTCTATGAAAAGGCCACTTTCCTTTTTTACCTAGAGATGGCCTTATCACCCTCTGTCTGCCTGTACCCAGGTACTAAGCCATATTCCTTGTTACCCTCACAAGACCTGTCAGATGGCCTCTGCCTTGCCTGTTTCATTCATGCCTTATATGATTATGCATACATAGAGATAGATGGGGGGAGAGAGAGA